AATGAGTCCTTGATTGATCAATATTGCCTGTCTTTATTTGTGTTCATGAGAAACCACTCTGAAGATATCAATATGTAATACAACAATCATTGTTAATTTCCTACCACTTTGTAACTGTATTATCTGTACTGTTCTTTTGCTATGTTGCATGTCTCTATCTGTTTTCCTGAGAAACCACTTTGAAGATATCAATATGTAATACAACAATCATTGTTAATTTCCTACCAATTCGTTTGTAACTGTGTATTGTCTGTACTGTTCTTTTGCTATTTTGTAAAATGTTGTCTGTCTGTTAATGTTTTCCTCCTTTTATTTTTAAAACTAAAAAAAAAGATTCCAAGAGTTCTACTTATTTATTTATTTAGGTTTTGTTCTGGTATTGGGAATCGAACTCATTGACCTCGCGCTTGCCAGGCAGGCGCTGTGGTGCTAAGCTAAACCCCCAGCCCCAAGTTCTACTTAAATTATGGGTTCATTGCAACAAGCAATTCACATTCTCCAAGCTGACTATATGTGGTGACTAGGTATCCAGTGAAGCCATGAAACTTTAACAACTGCTCCACTACACGAAGACCAAGTACCCTGCATTAAAAGACAAGCTTTTGAAGTTGTTCAAAGGCAAAAAAAAGAACATAAAAAACAAAAACAGTCACCAAAGGCAAGCACTTTATCAAATATGTCTGCACTAAGAGCATGGTCTTGGTGGCTAACTGTATTGCTAAAGCTAATAAGTCCTTTGCTGCTGGTGAGAAGTTGATCATGCTTACTGGACATTTGTTGTTATCTTTTTGGAGAGGCTGGAGTTCAAAAGGTACCACATGTTTCTTTTTCAATTAGCACAATAACTAGATGCGCTGAAGCAGAGAAAATCAAGGCACAGTTTCCAGAGAGGATTTATGAGGCACCATGTCACACAATCTAAGTTGATGAATCTACAGATACTGACAACAAAACATGGGTTGTTTTTGTGCAATATATTTTTCAGGCAGCTGTGCATAAGGATATGCTTTGAGTACTTTTGTTGCTAACCAATACCACAGTTGCAGAACTATTTAATTTTTGAATAATTATATATCAGGAAAATTGAATTTATCACGTTGTGTCAGTATATGCACAGATGACATGGCTAACATAGTTGGATGGCTTTCTGGTTCTACTACTTGAGTCAAAGAAGTCACTCTGAATGTGTCTATGCACTGTGTCAACCATAGAGAAATACTAGTTAACCCAAAAATGTCACCTGAACTCAGCATAATGATTGTTGAGGATGTGATTAAAAGCATTAACTATACTTAAAGTACCTGGCCTTAACTCATTTCTGTTCATGCATCTCTGTACAAAGATGGGCAGAACACACATGTCTTCTCTTATACACAGAGGCAAGATGGCTTTCTAAAGGTAGATCATTGGCCAGAGTTTTGAGTTACAAGGGCCATTCCAGAGATTTCTTTTAGAAAAACAGTCACCAGGGGAAGCACATTTTTTTTTTTTTTTTGGTTTTTCTCTGGTACCGGGAACCGAACTCACAACCTTGCGCTTGCCAGGCAGGCGCTTTTGCCGCTGAGCTAAATCCCCAGCCCCAAGGGAAGCACATTTTAATGACACAGATGGGTCACAAAACTTGTTTATTCCTGTGACCTATTAAGCCAGCTCAACAAATTCAGTCTGTTACTTCAGGAAAGAACAACAACTACGTTCAAGTCAGCAGATAAAGTGAAAGCATTTGAAGCCAAACTTGAATTGTGGAGGCAATAAGTGAACACTGGGATTTTTGACATATTTAAAACATTAATAGAGATTTTGGAAGAGACCGAGTCAGGGAATTTTTGTCCCATCTGGTGGAAGATATCCTATCTCAGCTTTCAAAGGAGTCTGAACATCTCTTCCCAACCAAAAAAGGCCCTTAAACTGGGGAGGAATGGATCTGGGACCCATTTATATATAGGTCAGGTGAATTGACTTTGTCCATACTAGAAAAGGATCAACTGCCTGAGATTGCAAATTATGGTGGCCTTAAGTATATTTAAGAAAACTTAACATCTCCATATATTCTGGATTAAAATCAAGGTGTAATATCATGCAACTGCCACAAAAGCACTGAAAAGCCTGCTCCCATTTAGAGCATCCTATGTTTGTGAAGTGGGGCTTTCTGCAGTGAGAGCAACCAAAACAAGATAACAGGGTAGACTGGACAGAAGTAACACAGCTTGGGTGTCACTGTCTGTCATAACACCTAGACAGACCCATCTCATTGCAGGAAAATAAGCTCAGGGATCTTACTACATCATGGTGAAATATGTAATTATTTCATTATAAATTACAGTATAGTAATATTAGAAATAAAGTACACAGATTCATGCACTTGAATCATCCCCCACTGGTCCACAGAAAAATTGTCTCCCATGAAACTAGTCCCTGGTGCCAAAAAGTTTAGGAACTACTAGGTTAGCACATTGGTGAATTCGTAGCTGAGCAGATTACTGGGGAGAGGGGCCTAGTTAGAAGAAGTGGGTCATGCGACCATGACCTTAGATACTATATCTTGTCCCAGGCTCCATTAACTTGGTTCTTTCTTGCTGTCTGCTTCCCAGATGGCAGGAGTTGGGCAGCTTTCCTCTTCCATGCTCTTCTGTCATGATGATTCTGTGTTGGAGCCAAATGACGATGGACTGAAGCCTCTGAGAATGTGAGCCACAAATAAATTATTTCCTCCTTTAAGTGGTGTATGTCAGGCCTTTTGTCACTGCAACAGAAAGCTGACCAAGATGGAAAATTGATACTAGGCGTGGGATCATTGCTGTGATCATATCTGACCATGTGTTTCACAGGTTTGGAACTGATTTGTTAAAGAAGCTGGAAAAGTATGGAAAACCTGAAATGCTGTATTCAAAACCTGATAGGAGATTCTGGCTAAAGCTCAAGAGACCAGAATGCTGACAGTAATGCGGAGAATAAAAGTTAGTTATGAGGTTTCAGAAGGGAATGAAAACTCTACTGGGAACTGGAATAGAAGGCATGTTTTCTAAATTCCAACAAATTTGTCTGCATTTTGTCCATGTGCTAAAACTTTGCATAAGGCTGAGGTTAAAGGTAGTTGGCTAATTGATCTGGTGGAGTACATTTCAAGACAGTCTGGTGTCTTGGTATGAGTACTGCTAGCTGCATTTAGCTAGATTTATAGAAAGATTAAGGAGCAAAAAGCAGAGCAAAAGCATTTGAAAACTTGATTGCTGTCCTTAAAAGAAGCGTGTATATGACTGGGGCAAATGTGGGGGGATTGCTGAAGGGATATTTATTTATTTAGCTGTATTGTGGACTGAACCATGGGCCTTTCCACTAAGTTGCGCTCCTGTCCCCTCTCTTTAATTTTGAAAAAGGATTTGGATATTTACTGCTTGCCAGGCTGGGCTCAAACTTGTGATCCTCCTCTTCAGTCTCCAAGAGTGCTTGGAATTACAGGTGTGCATCACCTTCTCAAGCTTGCTGAAGAGATTAATGCCAATAACCTTGTCATTTTGTCTATTTGGAAAGTAGGTATCGTTTCAGGAGAGGTAAACGGGTGTCAAGTTGACAAGGGGTGGACTTGTGCTGATTAATCTAGATTGCCAATCTATGTTGCTTCCCTCTGCCATGCCTTCCCACTATGAAGCTTTGCATTAGAGCGAGCTGACCATTGACTGAAACCTCTGAAACTATCATCCAAAACTAAGCAGGTTTCTCCTTTAAGTTCTTTGTATTGGGCATTTTTGTCTCAGCAACAAAAAGCTGAACAATACAACTACAAAAACGTGTGAGGAAAATTTTGTTTAATTCTGAGAATTTGATTTTATAAGTATGTAGAGAAATCTCTAAAGCTGTATTTTTAGGTTAATCACTAGCTAACTCTTACACAAATATGTGTCACCGTTGGCATGAAATGGTTCTCCACATCCACAGAAATGTCTACAAATGCTATGAGCTGAAACTGAACTTACTCTTTGGTCTCTTGAGGAAAGTCCACATTTTGTGGTATCCTGTCATGGATTACCATAATTGTATTATATTGTATTTGATCAATAATGTTGGAAGATGAATGTATGTAGACAGCTCACTTGAGGCAAAATTTTCACAAAACGTTTAGTTCAGAACAACTGTTTTGAAGCTATGTACAAAAAGGAATTACCTAATATGCAGAGATCACTTCCATTATCTAGGCACTTTAAAGTCCTAATGTAGAAGCAACCAATACAAAATGTTTTTATAGGGCTTTGATAACTAGAATTACTCAATTTCTTCAATACTAAGAATCATATATTTTTCAAATTTTTGGTTGGTTCTGGGAATAAATATCAGGGCCTCATGCATGCTAAGCAAGTGCTCCATCACAGAGCTACATCCCCAGCTATTTCTCTTCAAAATAACATGTATATAGCATACAATTATCCTTTTCCTTGAAAATCTTTTATTTGATGTCTTAAATGGGAATCAATATGATATTTTAAATAGTGGTATTTCCTCAAGAAAAGATAATTCACTTTTTCATTCATTTTCATATTTAAGGAATATTTGTCAACTGCTAGCTAAGTTTCTGACACTGTCCCAGGAGTCAGAATAGCACAATTAGAGATAGCTTAAGTATGTTCCACCTCCTAGTGATTAACATGTGTTTACATTCCTTTCACCCTAAAACTTGTTTACATGACTTTTACGTGGATCACAGGGTTTCCAAAAATGTCTAAGTAAGAAAAAGTAAAGTTAAATCCTTAGAAATGTCTTCACGGAATGGAGTTTCCAAGGATGGCAATATGCAGGGTGAAAGTAAGCTTATGGAAAATATCAACTAGTCTTCAGAAATGTAAAGGACAGTCAGATAGGAAAAAAAACCGGAAGTGGAGTTATGGCACTGACTTTTGAGAGTATAGGTTAATGACCTGCAGTTTGGTACCTTGCCCACAAGGGGGTGCATCTTCCTAACACACACATTTCCTGTTTTATTTCTGAGCTCACATTCATCTCTTACTCTCACCTTAACCTTACTTACAGTAAGAAATCAAGATTCAAGGACTCCAGGGCTCAAGGGTGTGAAAATGAACTATTCTCCAGGACCAGTAATTATACTATTCTTAGCGTTTGGTAAGTGATATAGCACTTAAAGAGTAGCGTCTGTACCATGATGTTGATGCCATTTTTAACTACAATTTTCTCTTAAGAGGTAGAAGCCAAATCATGACCAAGGTAAGCTTCACTGACTTGATATTATTTTTTCGTTTTAAGGAAGAAACAATGGAAATTTGGTGACCCAGACAAAAGGCCAAATGACTCTTTCTGAAGGGACTTCCCTGACTATGAACTGTTCCTATGACAGGACACAATATCCTTCCTTACACTGGTATGTGCAGTACCCTGGAGAGGGGCCACAGCTCCTCCTCAAAGCCACAAAGGACAAGGAGAAGGGAAGCAACAAAGGCTTTGAAGCCACGTACGATAAAGCCGCCAGCTCCTTCCACTTGGAGAAAGCCTCAGTGGAAGCGTCAGACTCGGCTGTGTACTACTGCGCACTGGGTGACACAGTGGCAGGAACTGCAGGGGGAGCCGAGCACAAACTCTAAACATCAAGAAAAGGTCAGAGGTTGCTGAGGAGCTGCCTAGGGGATTGCTCTTGTTTAGGGAGGAGGAACTAGTCTACTGTTGTTGCTACTCACTACCCCCACCCCCAAGAACTGTTGTGGTGGAAAAGTCATCCAGATCAATTAGAAGAACATAGCAGCACAAGAGGTACATGTGCCTCACACAAGACACTTCAGTGAAGGGAAGGAAAACAGTCTGTCACCATAGTTCCCTAACCTTACCTGAAATTTGCCATTTAAAAACCATAAAACTTCACGATGAATGAATAGTCTCTGTGTTCACCACTGTAAATAATTGTACCTCCCTGACCTTGTCCCAGGTCATCCGGAGAAATAGTGCATTGAGAGGCAGGTATTGCACATGGAAGTGCAAATGCTTAATATCTCCTATAAGCTGGTGATTCCTTAGGGAAGCTTGAGCCCAGGAAATAATAGGCTTTTCAAGAAAGAAAGTAATATAAGAAAGACAGAGGGAGTAGAGTCGTGTTTGTCCACATCTATGGAATGAGAAAAGAAAACATTTTCAGTTTTTTCTTTTGAGGGGGGAGGATAAGATGACATAAACACACTGGTATTCTCTACAATAGTTTAATTCTGACCAGAAATTGTGGAGACCTCCCACCCTCCCTAAGTTTTCAGTGAGCAGGCTTATCAGCAAGACAGCACTTAAGATAGGCAGGTAGTGTCCAAGGTCTGGTGAATGAAAACTGTTGAGATGACAGTCTTTTGTATAGATTGATAGGGAGGAAATCTCAGCTTCCCTCAACTCTTTCTGCAAGTTTAACAGAAGAGGAGCAAGAAGTGTAGTGGGAGATGGTGGCCAGGACTATGAGAAAGGAAAGATGGCAAAGAAGAATCTTTGGATTTAACTGTAGGTAACTTGGTGTGTTTGCAAATCCAGTGGTACTTTGGTTTATGAATGTAATTTGTTTTACCACTTTGGGGAAGATGGCTGCATTTGCGCTTGTGTGGGGAAGATGGGTGTGGTCACGTTTGTCACTTGATGTAGAGTTTGCAAATGGAAGCTAAACTTGCCAAATGATTTTGTTTGTGAACCAAATTGTTTGCAAACAGAAGTGTTCGTGAACTGAAGTATTGCTGTATTGGAGATTTTCTTTTGCCTTGTACATTGTCATGCTTAATGTAGATCAGTCTTGTGGCACTGAGTACAATTGCTTGTGAGACACCTTTTTGGGTGAGAATGTAAGAGGGGGAAGGATAGCATCTGTGCTTCACTGTCTCAGAGGCTTTAGAAGAATGTCATATACAGATTACTGAGGGTTATTGTCACTCAAGAGACATTGCTCATAAATCTTTCACTTTTCATGATTATTCCTTGTTAGTTTTTCTCTTACCCTATTATTTTTAAAGAGGCCCCATCTATAGGTTATATTAATTAGTTGAGCTAAGTATAAGAAAGTAATACATGACATATATAGCATGTATATAAAAAAATGTTCAAATAGTTCAAATGCTACTGAAATAGCTATAACCCACCATGACGCAGGGCAGACTGAATGTATATGGTTACAATTCTGAATTCCCAACAACAGGGCATTTAAAGAGGCTAAATTCAGTGATCACAAAGAGAGTGGAAAAGGAGATGACAGTAAAGGAAATGCCAGTAGCATATGTAAAAAAAAAAAAGGGATTTAAAAATGGGAGCAGATGATGAAGAGCTAAGAAATGTGAAACCAAAACTTGCAGACAGAAAACCAGGAAGAATCTCACATTTCCTGCTTCAGCATCCTAGTCAGGGGTGTTGAGTTCTGGGAGAATATGATGCTTTAATGCCTCCTGTCTTGTACTAAAACAAGAAAATTTCTTAAAAGGCTTTATACGTAGCAATTCAACCTCCACATCTTCTACCACCTTCTGTAACAGCAGCTGTCATAAAAGTTTACTCGGTGGCACGGGCTCTGATTTTTGTGGCTACCAGATAATCTGAGGGTAGACTGTGGGGTGAAATCTAACACAGAGGAAGTGTATGAATCTCTGTGTTTTGATTTTTGAGACCTTCAACCCCACTTACATCCAGCTTTTTTTGGATTTCACTAAGTGAATATGTAAGAGAGTTATTAAACTATTCCTTTCTTTAAAACTGTGACCACATGGCTTTTTGTTAGCACAGTAAACTTTAACTATCTTTTTGAGACAAGGTCTCACTATGCAAGGCAGGGTGGCCTTGAGCTCACTTTGTAGCCCAGTCTGGGCTCGAACTTTCAGCAGTCCTGCTGCCTCAGCCTCCCGAGTGCTGGGTTTACAGGTGTGCGCCACCACACCTGGCCAAACTTTAATTATCTTTTTAAATCCAGTATAAAATTAGGCCATTAAGGATAATCATATTGTTCAGGTAAGTTTCTAATGAGAATAACAGACCCAAAGTGGGAAAAGAATGCAAAAACCAAGCCAAACCAATGAGGAAACAGCTACAAAAATCCATCAGTTCTCAAAGACACCAGAGCCAAAACAACTGCCAGAAGAAAGCCAAACCAAACCAAAACCAACACAAAGAGAACTTGGGGGGAGGGAAGCAAGGAAAGGCCATAAACAGAGACCTTTTTAAACTGGTAAAAAATTTTAGGACATAAAAAAATATAATAGAAACAAAAGAAAAAGTAATTTTCTATGCTTTGATATCTTAAAACTGTAAATTCAACTTGGAAATTTATGGACATAATCCTGCATTTGTTTTAGCTGCTTATTGCTGTCACACTGTTTTTTTTAAAAATTTTTATTTTAAAGAAAATACTACAAAGAAAAGAACAATAGCAAAATACAAAAACAATGCAAGGACATTAATTTTGCATGTTTGTATCTGGTAATCTGAGCAACTTATGTGACAGCAACAATTTGCAGTGTAACAACCATTGGTGAATTCCTACCATTCTGTCTAGTGAAACTATGTATTATCTGTAAAGTTCTTTTAAATTATTATTTTCTTATTCCCTTTAATGATTTCATCAATCTTCTATTCTTACATCTGGTAATCTGACCAACTTCGTTGAAGATAAAAATGTGTAATATAACAACGACTGTTAATCCCTAACATTTGGTTTGAAACCTTATATCATTTTTAATGTTGCACTGTTCTTTTTTTTTTGTTTGTTTTTCTCCGGTACTGGGAACCGAACTGACGACCTTGCGCTTGCCAGGCAGGAGCTTTGCCGCTGAGCTAAATCCCCAGCCCCCTGTTGAACTGTTCTTATAGGACTTCATGGTTGAAATCTTAAAGACTGATTCTATATCAACCATGGGGTAAACTTAGCAACGACAAATTCTGCTGGATATACTGGTAAGAATTGCAATGGTCACTGGGGAGTCACTAAACCTAATATCAGTTTTGATTTTTTTTTTGTCTATGATGCAAATAACCACACTGGAAGCTCTTATACTTCTGTTTTTGAAGGCCTGGAGAATCATAAATACTCTGTAGAAAGACAAGAGAAAAAAGAACTTTCTAGTTGCTGTGGCTCACACTGTAATGTATAAGAGGGTGGGTGCAGAGAAACTCTTAAAATACCAAGAGAGCGTGTAAATTGTGGCCAGTGGCACAACTCACTGATATGATTGTATGTGGAAGATGTGTCAGTGGTTGCTGGAGGAGCATAAGGAGTGTAAACTGTCGTTAGAGACATAAAAGTAGGAATACGAATGTCTCTGGTATAGACCGTTAGATCTTACTATGGCTGGCACCTGTTGGGATGTGTTGGGTTTCAAGTCAAGGGGACGAGGAATGAGCAGGTATGTAGGAAATGACCGCACAGGAAAGGGAAGTGTTTACTAAAGGGAAGGTTGCAAGGTACACGTGGGTTTCAAAAAAACTTTTGTTGGACTTAAAAGTGAACGCTGAGGTGGCGACTTACTTGAATCAGGTTTCTGACCGAGTTTCTCCCACTGGCAGTCACTCAGGCTTCCGTTAGTTGCTCCCTCTTACAGTTAGGTCGGCTGCTTCTGGGCGACGTGGGATGTGTAAGGTCTGTCAATCACACGGGAACCAGATTTTTTGGAAATGTCAGAATTACGAATATCACTGATTAAATACCTATATGAATCCTGACTGTAGAAAGTATTTTATAACATCACAAATTATTGATGGGAAGGAAGGAAAGAAAGAAGAAAGGACAGAAGGGAGGAAGGGAGGAAGGGAGGAAGGAAGGGAGGGACGCAGATGATTTCTCAGGCAAAGCTGGGACGCGCTCTTTCTCTCCTGCCGTCTTTTCTCTCTCGTGCCCTATTGCTGTGATGTTTCTGGCTCACAACAGGCCAAAAAGCAGAGCAGCCAGCTGAGCACCCTGGAATCACTGAAATTGTGAATCGGAATATACCTTTCCTTCTTTAAGTTTTTATTCTCAGATTTTTTTTTTTTTATCAGAGCAATGGAAACCTGATTAGCAAAATAAGAAACAGAGTGTTGAGAAGAAATAATACAACGAATGATGAAGACCACCATCCTTCAGATTGTGTATCTCCTTGTTCTCTAGGAAAACCTGAGAAGTTCTTCATTTGCAAGAAGGTTACTGTACCTCAAAGAAGGTGGAAATATAGAATTACCTTGCTGTATGCATATGTGTGTGATAATTGGTCTATGGACCTGAGTAGTCAAGGGAGGTGTCAGTTTATTATTCTCAGCTCCAAATTCACTTTGTCTGCTCTGCAGAATGAATCTGGGTCCTTCTATCTTGGTTTTCCTTTCATACGTGGCACGGTATCAAGCTCTGCCAGAAGCGATCCAAGAGGAGGGTGCTCTGCGTTCCGGTTTCCGTGCGCTCCCGCTATAGCAACCTGTGCCTCGGCAGGCGTCCCCAGTGTCCATCCACCTCACACAGCGCACCTGCTCCAGGTTCCCGCAGGGTGCAGGGGCCAGCACCTTCCCCAGCACTATCATTTCAAGCTGTTTTGTAGAAGAGTGCTTCCGGTAGGACATCACCTTGTGAACTTTCCAGCACCCAAGTGATAGTTTTATAGCAAGATCCAGACGGTGGATTTCCAGAGTGTATAGTTGCTTCAGTACCACAGTGACCTCTCTGTCATCCAGTGAAAGAGAACTGTGCCTTTTCCCTTCGCAGCTGAGTGTCAGCCCTGGGTGTGGGGCCGGGGGCCTCTTTCTTGCACATTCTCTCCCTTCCTAGGAGTAGTGGCTGCTCCTTGTCTTCGCGGCTCCTGTCTGCTTCAGAGTTCTCTTCTATTTTCTTTTTGGTACTGGGAATAGAATTCGGGACCTTGCACTTGCCAAGCAGGTGCTTATGCTGCTGAGCTGTATCCTCAGCCTTCTTCTATTCTTATCATCCACTCTCTTGCTACTAAAATCCCTTTACACTTAATAGTTTTTATGTTATACTTTTCCTGTTCAAATTATTTTATGATTTCTTTTTCCTGATTGGACCAGACTCATTTATGCGCCAAAGACCTCATGCAGATAGAGAACACCTTTCGTCTGGCCTCTCCATTCCTGTCTAAGAATCCTCTCACATTCCTGTTTGCTTTATTTATTTTTTATTTCTTTATATTTTAAAATAAATTATTTTACTTATTATTTTGTCTCACTTATTACATATTAATTTATTATATATTACTGAATTATAGTTTAGTTACTTTACATAATTTTATATAATTATGATGTTTCCTATACCTGCAAATTTATTGAGAACTTAGAAATATTATGAAAGCTTTTACATCAGTGAGATTATATTTGATTTTTCATATTATGTGCATACATTATTTGAGACAAAATTTTATTGTAGCCCTAAAGCAAATTGTAATAAAAATAGTTAAACTCCCAGTACAAATAGGCATTCATTCACTGGTGGGAATGTATTTCAAGGAAATAATTCTAAGTCAATTTTCTTGCACACAGCTTTCTTAATTTTATTTTATATTTCCTGGAAAGGGAATGAGAAGAAAGTGGTAATCTGAAATAATCTGAGTACATAATACTTCCATCACTTCAGAGAGTTTTCTGTGTCCCTTCCCCGTCAAGCCACCTTCTGAAAGCAATAGCTATCTTTATGTCCATCATTGTAGATTTACTTTATTTCAGAATTTCCAATCCATGGAATCACAGGGTAGGTGCTCTTTCATTCCTGGTCTTTGCCACTCAACATGTGCTTGAGATTCACCTGTGTTCTTAGGTGTATTAGTCAGCCATACAGTTATTTCTGAGTGGAATCTACCACATGAATACAGCACAGTTTGTTTACCCATTGCAAAGTGTTGCCACTGGATAGACATGAGATCTTTTAGGGATTAAATCTTGGCTGCCCTTAGTAAGGGGGCAAGGTGCAGGCTCACCTGAATTTTTATATTCTTTTCATGCAAGAGTGAAGTGCACCTCTAAGTTACTGTAGTCCATGGCAGAGTAGTACTCCACTGTATATAAAAAAACATATTTTCTTTATCTATTCATCCATTAATGGGCATATGGGCTGTTTCTAGGATTTAGCTGTTGTAAATTGTGCTGCCATAAATATGGGTATGCAAATATCATTGTGGTATGATGCTTTTAACTTTTGTCAGGAAGATACCTAGGGTCAAATGGAGCCTCTAGTTTTAGTTTTTTGAGGAATCTCTATAATGATTTTCATAGTGGTTGTACTGTGGCTGTACTACATACTAGTACAACCATACTAGTCATGGTGCTGCGCTCTCCCCAGCAGTGCAGAAGCGTTCCTTTTCCCTCACAGCCCCTCCAGCATTTGTTGGTTGATTTCTTTTTTTTTTCTTTTAAAGAGAAAAGAACAAAAACAACATAACAAAAACAAAGACAAAGACAAAGCAACACAATAACAATAAAAATGATACAGAATTTCAAAGCAAGATGATAGGAAATTAACAATGGTTGTTGTGTTGGTTATCTTTAAAGTAGTTGCTCAGATTACCAGATGTAGGCATGCAAAATTGATCAAACAATTAAAAATTAGCTGTTCCTTTCAATAAACCAATAGAAATTAGTAGTACAATTATCTTAGCTATCTTGTATATATATATTTTCCTCCTTTCTTTGCTCCTTTCTCTCATCCCAGTTCTTTCCTTATAAGCAGTTTCTTTCCTTTTCACAATATCCATTGTACCTTTCATATTTTAGTTACTCTTTTAGGTTATTATGCGTGACAATATAATGTTTACACATGTGGATCTGAGATCACTTATGAGTATAGTCTCTAGTTGCATCCATTTACCTATAAAAGCCTAGTTTTCCTTTCTTTATAGCTGAGTAGTACTCCATTGTATAAAAACACCACATCTTTTTTATCCTTTTCTCAGATGATGGGCATTTTGGTTGTTTTGGCTGATTTCTTGATGACAGCCACTTTTTCTGGAGTAAGATGGACTCTCAGCATTGTTTCAATTTGCATCTCTTGAATGACCAGTGATGAACATTTCTTCATATTCTTATTTGCTGTGTATTTCTTCATCTGAGAAGTGAATTTTCATTTCAAATGCCCATTTTTGGATATTCTGCTTTTCCTTTCCCCAGGATAATTTTACAACTCTTTCTCCTCCTGTATTCCACTTCTTTTCCTTTATGTACTTTCCTCTAGCTGCTTGGAGAAAACTGTAACAGTATTATATACCAGGACAGCAACTTTAATGATAATTTGTGAAATTAACTGAAAAACTATGGCTCTCATGTACCAATAGGAAGAGTAATAAATACAGAAGCCATCCCTGCAATAATCAGAACGTGAATTCACTTGCTTCCTCCTCAGAGCCTGGGTCCTGGCTCCCACCTTCCCCCTGCAGGCCAGGTGGACCAGGCCTTCGCTTTCCTCCTTGTTTTTCTCCCCAGACCAGCATGGGGACGTGGAAGAACTTTTCTCTGTAAATGACAAATCACGAAGGCAAATTTCATGGAAAAGGAACGGGTTTTTCTTTGTTTGGGAGAGTGTCATGAGGCTTCCTAGATTTCAAACATGTAAACTCAGCCCAGCCGTGGATGAATATCCACAGCATCTGCCTCCTCCAGTTTATCAGTAATGACTCAGCCGTGTGCACAGACGCTGCCCTTGGTGTCTGCATCTGACTGTGCACCTGCTGTCCATCTAAGGCCTACTTTGACTTTTTCCGTGTCTAAAGGGTTTATTTGGGGATGAGCAAACGGATTCAACTGGGGAGGTGCCCTGCGCCAAGCACATGAGGCAGGGAAGGCAAGCTTAGATTAGCAAAAGGGACAGACCAGGCCAAGCACGGTGTCATGGAGACTGGAAGCAGAAAGGTCTTCAGCTCCCTGGTAGAGGACGGGCATCAGGAGCGCATCGTGCAAGAATCTTTGCAGTGTGGATGAGCGTTAGACAGCCTTGTTACACGGGTCTGTGCATACGTTTGAGGTGGGTGGAGTGTGGGGTCTACGGAAGACTCGCTAGCGGGGTTTTAGAAAGTCCTTGACAGACATCTCAGGCAGGGCCTGAGCGCCCCTTTCCTGCTTTCCAAGCTCTGAGTTTTGTCTGTTCTGACAGGAGGGACTTCATCTTGGGGTCAGCAGTGGTTTTAGAGGGACGAGCGTTGTGAGATGCTTGCTGTGTACCTGTGAAGGTGATCATATAGGATTGTAAAAACCTTCCATTCCGTTAGGAAGGGAATTACAGTCGTTACTGCTTTTGCATATCAAACCAGCCCCGCCGTCCTCTTATTGCTGCTTGCATTTATCTGAGCCCCTCATAGGGCGAGAGAACATTGAACCAGAGTTCGGTGCTTAGCGATGTGACCACAAGGTGGCAGTATCGTTCAGCTGGTGCAGAAGCTGTATGTGGAAAGTTCCTTTCAGGGATTTGAAATGAATAGCCTGAGCGCAGAAGCACACAGCCTTTCCCTCATTGGCTGAGTGCAAGAAAAGGACGCCTTGATAACCAAGCAGCTCTCCTGGCTAGAGACTGCAAGTCTAAGGTAGATCCAATTGGGAAGAAAAATGAAGGCGTCCACTGGTGCTTTGCTCACGTGCTTGTGGCTGCAGCTGAACTGTGAGTTGAGGACTTGGGTGCTTTACATTAACAGAAGCTCTTTAGACGTCCCGGGAGAAGACCGGCTTTATTTACATTTCTTACGATACTGTCGAAAAAGGGAGTTGTGGAGACTGACCTGACGACCTTCTTTGTTTTTTCCTTATGTACAGGGGCCCTTGGAGAGCAGGTGGAGCAGCACCCTTCCACCCTGAGAGTCCAGGAGGGAGACAGCTCTGTTATCAACTGCACTTACTCAGACAGCGCTTCATCCTACTTCCCCTGGTACAAACAAGAGGCTGGGAAGGGTCCCCAGCTCATCATTGACATTCGCTCAAACGTGGGGAGAAACCAAAAGCAAAGACTCCTCGTTTTAATGGACAAGGCAGCCAGGCACGTCTCCCTGCACATCACCGCTGCCCGGCCCGCGGACTCTGCTGTGTACTTCTGCGCAGCTGGTGCACACTGCTGCGTCGGCACCTGCCGCCTGTGCGAAAACCTGGCCCTGCGCTGGGCCCAGCCCTGTCCTCTGGCACAGGCTTTCCAATATTTACCGTGTTGGTTTGTAAGTGACAACTATCACAGAGACATTAAAAAGCATATAGTCTGACAGGCTCAAGATGATTCAGGAAGGCTTAGCTTCAGGACATTTTGTTAGTACTAAATTCTTGTGTTTAACAGATAGTTTTCCTGATTTATTTTTTATTGTTTATATTTAAATTGTACCAATGTGATGTTCTGATATTCATATCCATAGTGGAAATAAACAGTTTCATGCCCTCTTGTGTTTAGCAATCCTAATACTCCGTAGAGTAGATTCTTACAGGGAATTAGTCGTGCTTTGTGTTGATTTTCAGGTTTTAAAAATGGGCTTATGATACAATGGAGTATTACTCAGTTATAAAAAAGATAAACTCAAAGCTTTTATAGGTAAATGGATGCAACTAGAGACCTTACTCATAAGGGAAAATAAATCAGACCTACATGTGTAAACATCATATTGTCTCCCTGGTGTAGGAACCTGAAAGAGTAAGTAAGACTCAAAACATATAATAGATGATAGGAAAGGGAAAGAAATTACTCAAAGGAAGGAACAACTGGAATGAAGGAAAGAAGAAAAAAGAAAGAAGGAAGGCAAAAAATTATATATATGAATGGCTGGGATAACTGTACTGTGGATATCTGATGGTATATTGAAAGGAACAGTTAATGCTTAAAATTTTTAATGTTCTGATCAATTTTGCATGCTTATATCTGGTAATCTGAGCAACTGATTTGAAGGTAACAATAGGCAATGGAACTACCATGGTGAATTCTTACCATCTTGTCTAGTGAAACTCTGTATTATCTCTAATGTTTTATCTAGTAATTTATTTTCTTTAATGGCTCGAACAATCTTCCATTCTTACATCTGGGATCTGAGCAAGGTAGTTGAAGATAACAAATATGTAATATAACAATCACTAATTAATTCCTATCCTTTTGTTTTGAAAACTTGTATCACTTTTAATGTGCTTACTTTGTTTTGTTTATGTTTGTGATGTGGTATGTTGCTGATGTTTTTTTTTCTTTTACTACTCTCTTTAAAATAAAAAAAATGAAGTTATGTTTGCTATTTAGACTCTTCTCATATAATAACCCATTAGTATTAACATCACAATCTGTCATGGATGGACTTTTGAATCCTTAGAAAATTGCATTTATTTTTTCTTATTATAAATCACTACATGTCAAATACAGAAAATTTATAAGATATAAAATGTGGTATTTATATTTATGGACTGGACAATGTGATGTTAATATTTGGTGAAAGGATATGAAGGAGTGGGGCTGACAAGTCTGGAGATACAGTGTAAAACACAAGGAGTATAGTGAATAAAATTCTGTATTGTTTTTGTTAAATGTGTAGATTGCTAGCTATTCTTTTAAAATGCATAACACAGTAGCTGTGTATGGTGACACATATGTGAATTTGCACATTATAGTGACCACTTTAGTATTTATTTGTTTCCTATAACGTAATCTTGTTAGCTGTATACACAATACAATTTATTCAAAAGGAAAGAAATGGGGACTGAGGCTCAGTAAGAAGGCCCTGGGTTCAGTTCCCCCGGAAGTTTTTCTTTTCATTTCTTTATCTTTCTTTCTCAATAAAGCTGTATTGTTTTAAGATCATCAAATTTATTTGTAGTTATTTAATTTTTATTGCTGTCTTACCTATCTTTCTGTATACCCGAGAATACATACATACATATGTGTGTGTGTGTGTGTTTGTATTTATCAAATACCTTATTCAACTCTCGTTAGTGGATTGTAGAGGAACTTAGATTAGTGGTTAACTTATGAATAGCTTGCTATAAGTCTTTCTGCCTAATCTTCATGTTTTGATTGAGTTATTACTATCACCAATTTCTTCTTAGAAAGGTTTATCTTTTTGTGCTGTAAATTAATCAGTGTAAAGAAAGTTGTGAGAATAATTCATTCCCAAACTTTCCCACTTCTATTAGGGTGAGCTAATTTTAAGAGTGTGCATATTCTTCCTAAGGGTGGGTAAAATTAATGATTGATGTGTGTAAAGATTCTTCTTGGCTGATTATGGGTGTCACTTATCAGCTAGTTGGCTTGTTCTTATTCAAATAGTTCAGGTATAAAATGTCTGAATAAGAAAGGTCAGCATTGTAGCCCAACTATTAGATACAAAAAATGTGCTCACTACACCACTGGCTGCTGTTCCTGAGAAGGAGGTTGATGCTTGAGCGCTCATTTTTCCCAAGGATGACAATGGAGTGAGAAGAAGCCTGGTTTCTATCTCATTGCTTTATTTCAGGTTATAAGAGAGAGGACATAACTATCACTGGCTTAATGACTTAATCATATCTCCATAAAAGGTAACAGCAAGTTTTGGGGTTAAGACCTAATTTTTAGGAAGCTATTATTTTACCTACTATAATTGACATGGCTACATGAAAAAAATTATATGGCAGAGTCCAGTTGGAAAAATATAAGCCATAAATATTTTATTTTCAGCATTTAAAAATTGTATTCTTAAATTATCATGTAGAAAACTAGTACCTTGTTATAGGGTTCCATCTTTGAATAGTGAATTTCAGTACAATGTATGAATTCATAAAACCATTAAGAAGTTATGATACAAAGAGTTTCATCACCTAAAAACTCTCCTGTGCTGTCCTCCTGTGGTCACACTCTCTGTGTTTGTGTTGGTCAGCTTTCTGTGGTTCACAGAAAACCTGACTTAAATCAATCTTCAGGTGGCAAAATTTATTCTGGCTCCCAGTTTCAGAGATTTCAGTCTCTAGCTGGCCGGCTCCATTGCTTTAGACCTGTGTCAAGGCAGAAATATCGTGGCAGAACGGCATGGCAGAGGAGAGCAGTTCACTTCATGATAGACTAGAGCAGAGAGAAAGGGCAAGAGCCCGAAAGCGGGGGTGAAGGAGTGGGTCTAGGCTCCCGTATCTCACCCCGTAATCCAGCCCTTCCACCTAGGTCTCATGTCCCGTTTTCATTACCTCCCCATAATGTTATCTAGTTATGATCTCTTCAGTGGACTAACCCACTGATGCAGTGTGAATGGTAAATCATATCCGCCAGAAACCAAGGCTTCAGTACAGTGAACCTTTGGGAGCCATTTTAGATTCCAAGTACAAAGCCATCACTAACCCTCTCAAACCCTAGTACGCTATTCTTCTCAGAATGCTGTGTCAGTGGAGTCACACAATACACAAGCATTGTCTGGACGTTAAACAGAAGAAGCACATGGCACTGGGTGATCTTCACCTCTACCATTGCCCCGCTTTCTTATGCCTGAATGTTTTACACTTTTGAATAATTTTATAAAAATACTTCATCAGTATGAGTTAATATCTTTGAATATTTGAATTCTGATTCTAAAAAACCAAAATAAACAAAATGCAAAAACCACTTGTGGGTAATTAATAATGGCAATCTGTAGATGGTTACACCAACTTATATAATCAAGTTGCATCATACTCTGTATATAGTTTAATTGTATTAACTTTATCCTAAAGTTTTATCATTAGGTGTTTTTCTAACATTTTAAGATCAATTGTATTAGTCAGAATTCATGTTAGCCATACTAATTGGGGATGATTTACTCTGATTTTCCCAGCTGCATTGCATATTTAATAATTTTTTTGTGTGTTGCACTAATAATTCCCTAGTAGAGCTGAATTATAGCGTTACTGTAGTTACTTAAGTAACGCCTTTACCTAAGCAAGTTATGTTATCAGTAAGAGAACAAAATAAAATAGATATGAAACACAGCTTTCTGCCACCAAACTGATGACAAACATGGGGGTACAAAGAAGAAGGTGACCATTGGTAGTTCCATCAACAAGAGAGCTCTGGCAGCCATGGATGCGCCATCCGCCTCAGGCAAGAACATGTGATTGCAGGGATCTTAGACTAGCACCATTTTCTGTGGACTGTCTTGTTCACAGAGACAGCACTGCTCGGATGTGTAATGCAAGTGATTTTAAATTCTCATTTAAGGATGTAGGACATCACACTAGCTGGTAAAATGCAACCAATCCTTGAATTTTGTCTGCTGAGCTGGCAGTAAACAATACCAGTGAGGTCATTTCAGCAGGGTTAGAAGCACCTTTCTGTGGAGCTGTGCTCGGACCATATCAGCCAGAATCAGGGCACAGTGAAGTGTGATTAAATGCCGCCTGTTGGCCTGCTGATGAAAGGACTGAGTATCATGAGTTTATTCACCTATTTATGTTTGTAGAAGAATAGGATATGTGTGGCTTGGAAGTTACGTGCTCTTACTGGTGACCAGTTCATAGGCAAACAACATGTAATTGTGAAGTGGAAAGGCCCATGGGAGATAAGGGAAAAATGCATTAAAGAGGCCATGAGGGTTCACTGGTGTCCTGATACAGGCATTTTAGTTTTAACATTTCATTTATTCTTTCCAAATCATCTGAGGACAAGGAGGAGAAAGTATGAAGGTTTAGAGTGATGTCTAATCTGGCTTTTTTTTTTTTTTGGTTTTTCTCCGGTACCAGGAACCGAACTCACGACCTTGCACTTGCCAGGCAGGCACTTTTGCCGCTGAGCTAAATCCCCAGCCCCTAATCTGGCTTTTATAAATGGAGTTGGGCTGCCAAAACCTGACATGACAAGGGAACCTTTATTATGGGATTCAATGTCTGAGGGCTTTATCTAAACTCTAGCAAGAGAACTTAGTTTTTTTTTTTTCTTCTCCAAAATAAGCTACAGGACATACACACATCAGAACTAAGAAGTATTGTTACATCCATAGGTAGGAAAAAATAGGCAAAGTGATTCATATAAACAGCTTTGACTTCTATTGGTAATGTGACTGATTTGTACCTTATAAAAACAACACATACACATGTGAAGATACATGGTTACTACATCTTTTTTTAATGATTTTAGGGCTCTAGGAGGATCAAAACCCTCTCACAGAATTCGAGATTCTCTCAGGGCTAAGACCAAGACCTTCTCTATGTAGCCTATATTTATTTGGTTATCAGAAGAAGAGAGGGGAGTACTCAAGAAGAGCAGAACCACTCAAGGAGTTCTCCAAGTAAGGTGTTAAATTAATCCTTAGTAAGGATTAAGCTAATCTACCCAGGAGTGAGATGCCTGAGGCTATAGTCTTTATCTAGATCAGATCCAGGTGTCCTTGGCTTTGACCTTGTCTTATCCTTTGAAGCTTTCTGGCCTCATCCACCAATACAGGTTTTAATAGGGGTTAGTGACTCACAGAGATTCACTTACTATGGGTCTGTCACCCACTTCCAGACAAGTGGCCTAGGCTTTGGACAGGTTCACAAGTAAACATAAAAAGCTAATTGGTTAATTTAAGTCCTGCTCAGGGCTGCTTCATAGTGGTCTCCATCAATTCCT